TGATTGGAGAATAAATATAATGTGCTGCTGATCTAAATATACTAATTACCTTAAGATTGGATGACAAGTTATTACATTTTTCGTACATAGATTATAGTTGCTAGATAATAAAGTGCCCCCTTGATTTTTTTGTGATGTTAAAATAAATTTATGTGGTAACCATGCTAAATTCATGATGGCCAACATGTCTGTTACACAGATGAGGCATTCACACTATCTTGAAACCTGATCTCATTTAATCTCAGTACAAGCTTGCTGACTCGTTCTTTGGATTGTGCATTTATTAATTAAATTTTTGCATTTTTTAGATGATGGACTTTATTGAGGAAAGCTACTTGGAAGAACAGGTTGAATCTATAAAGAAGATATCCGATTATGTAACAAACCTGAAACGAGTTGGTCAAGGTTTAGGAGAGTACATGTTTGATAAAGAGCTCCGGTCTTAAATATCTTCACAGAACGTGGGATCTGGGACAGTATTATCTCGTTTGCTCAAGGCCTTGAAACTCCAGTTGAAGTAATCAGGATCGTAGATGATTTTTTTTATTGGCAATTGTACCATTTATATTGGTCTTGGATGCAAAGAGGCATAGTATTTTCAAAGCTGGGTACATCAGATTTTTCTGTCTCCTAAGATTGTATGTAAAGGAATAAGTGTAAAATAAAGTGTAGTTCAAGAAACTGTAGTTTTTTGTTTTTATGCACACCGTGGTGTTGCTTGTGAGGAATGTTTCACTGGTGGCATTTGTTGGTACCATGTACAAATGTTTGTCCCAGATTATTGACTAGGTCCTTGTTAAAAGGCCTTTGACCATTGCTTAAGGCCTTGATGAATGTTAAACAAATACTAATGGCATTATTAGTCAAAGTGAAAACTGTTTTTTGTGGTGAAACAACAATTTCTATGCGTTTTTTTTTCACTACAGGATGCTCATTACTAGATATTTCAGAGTGATGGCTAGTTTTACCAGTACTGTCAATCTTCATTGCACATCTTTGGAGCTGAATATTAGCTAATTGTTATGCAAATTAAGTAATTATCGGACAAAGTTGCAAATGTGAATGCAAAACTTGGATTGTCTAAAAGCATTGATTTACCAGTCTCGCAAAACATCTGCAGCAGCTGAAAATGGATAACTAATGCATATTATGCACAAAGTGCTTTTGTATTGCTTTCATCAAAATCTATCGCGTATTTCTTGAAGGTTAGGGGATTATGGCCAGTACACAAATATACTTTTCTGCACAAAAACACTAGCAAGTATCAACTGTCATGTTGTCGGTGATTGGTCAGTTCAACAAGTCAATGATATAGCCGTCATGTTTTTAGTGACTTTATCAAACAATGAAAAGTGTAGTCAGATTATGTTAAAATATTGCAACAATATTTAGCATATGAACTACAAATGTGCATGAAACGGGTATAAAGACTAAGTTTAGTACAAAAAATGACTCTTTAAACATACAAGCTTTGAAGAAAATCTGTCGGAACCCAAAACACAAGTTGTCGTTTCAGACTACGTTCAACGGGGACTAATGCCTACAATGATATAAATCTATTAACTGAATGTAGTTAATCAGTAACTAAAAGGTGGTGTGGCAATGCAGTTTTTTATATTTGTGATTTTACTACATCAAGCCTACCCTAACTTGTAAATACATGTACCCAATTGAATAATTTTGGGAATCAATTTATCTTTGCCTAAATTCCTCTTTAATGGCTGGAGCACGCCATGTCAATCAGGATTAGTTAAATTTTACAGAGTAAAACTGCTAAAAGATTAAGGTGAGGGGGGGGGGGGCACAAGTAACTACACTTTGTTAATCTATTGTTTATGTTGAGCCATTCTCGTCTTGCACCCATGGCAAAGTAAAAGCTTACTAAAAAGGCAAGTCCTCAATGAGTGTCCCAACTGGGGACTTCTATGAACCAAAAATGTGATCCTTACTAAGGGACCTATCTGTGTAGATTAATATTCTAATTTTAACACAAAACCAGTCTGGTCTGGTCTGGATAATCAAAGCACTTGCACTCTCTTCATACACCTAAAATGGATTCAGGACTATTGAATCTATCACAGATTTGTTTTCCCCTCGGGACACGCGATTTCACATTTCAGTTCAAGACCTGCTTCAGCAAATAATACAGTGGCTACCACTATTTTCCAGCAGATTCATTCACCCAAGGTTGAGAAACAGAACAAGGTGCCAGATTTGGTTCTAATTCAAAGAGATCCTTTGTCCCTTGGAATATAAAGATTACAAGTATGACCATTGTTTAGCAATTTGTACAAATTGACTGAATGTAAAAACTAGTGTGTGTTTGTGTGTGTATATATATATATATATATATATATATATATATATATATATATATATATACATTTGCACAGATACATTCAAGACTATAAGTAAGAGCCCAGTTAGTTGCGAAAACCGTGTCTTAAATCAACTAAAATACTAGTACCACATTTGCAATCAAGGCAATAAGCAAACAAAACATTTTGGTAAAAAAAAATTTCAACTTTTAATGTTACAAGTTTATTACAAATATGAAAACAAAGGCGGTATAAAACACTGGTTTTTGGTTAAAAAGTGTAGCTATGCACACTAAACATGAAAAGTGAAAAATAATCAGTACCAGTGCATGGTGGTAAATTATTTTTTTTTTAATTTGGAAGAAGTCCACAATTTCTGCAAGTGATCAGCTCCAGATAGCGTCCAAGATGCACAACATGTACACCAGATAGTGTGGCGACAACACATACACAAGTCCAAGTAGGCTGAAAATAATGTCTTTTTTCAATGGACAAATTTGTGGAGGTGTAAGAATTTAGTAAAATCTCCCTTGCGCTCTCAAAAAAATATTCATTGTTAGACTACAGGTCGCATTTTGAACAGTTTTCGTGTCACCCTTTTACCGAATGAAAATGCATTGAGGGAGATTTGTAAGTGCATGTAAATAAATGATGCATCCTAACTGTAAATTAGATCATTAAAATACAACTTAATTTACTTAACGCGTGCTACAAAAAGATGAATACCATACAAAGTCCATAACAATACCAAACTCAAAAGTAATGTTGTGGCCTCACTGTCCAGTCAATTTTACTTTAATAGTACAAGGTTTTTATCCCTCTGACTGATCCTTCAAACTTAAATTTCTAAATCCTCGACTTCTCTGTAGATGCATAATTTTCCAGTTGCTTGAAGTCGCTGAATATTGATGCTTTGGGTATTTGTCATAGCACTCCTCAATACTGTAGATTAGTGAATTTTGGAACATTAAATAAAACTAGTTATTGTGTACCACATTTCATCCATTAACTGGTTCTGTGGCAGTTAAATTAAAAAAGTAATTTTTCTGTACTTTTTAATTATCGCATGCACGTAGTTAGGATCTATTTTTAGGCAGTTCTTTTATAGAGACCTAGAAGTACCAAAGACCATTACATGATTACAGAATTTACAACTCTGAATGAATGCTATTAACTATAAATTTGATTGGTTCATTGTAAATGCAGTCATAAGATTTGATCAATTGGGAACACACAACTTTGATTTATCTGATTATCTAGACTTCAGAATCACAATGATTAACCAAGCGTAGCAGTGAAATAAAATTTTAGCTGACATGCATTTATAATAGAGGAAATATGGTAGTTAAAATGTCAATGCAAGTTTGATGCCAGACTCTCCTCTCAAGGGTTGCTGTAGGTGAAACTCCAGCAAACAGCATAGTTCTTTGACTGAAATTGAACTAAAATATAGTTATGTCAGATGTTCTTCACTCTTAGAGTTCCATTTGCAAATACACTTCTTCAATACTTACGTTTTAAGAAATGCTAGTTGCAATTGTATAAAGAACATCAAGCTTGTACTTCTGGATACACACATGATTTTGCTTTAGATTCAAGCTCAAAGACCAGCAGCACATTAAAAGCTATAAAACTGACATTTTTCTTGCATAGTATTAGAAACTCAATGAAATAGCTGTTATAACATTAGGTATAGCTCTTGGTTGAAAGAGGGGCATTTTAGTAGAGAAATGAGGGGGTAGCATTATACTGTATACCCATTGAGAGCATATTGCACGATTTAGTAAAGTCCTCTTATAAACTGAACTGCAAGCTTTCATAAAAAGGACCAATTTGAAATCTATCATTAAATTAATATACATGCATGTGACACAAGAGATGCATGCGTGAAATCTGAATGTATGAAGAGAAGTAAATCTGTCTATTTTTGGATTCCAGTCAAATTGTATTTTATAATAATGAGGTCATAACAATTCATTAACTCTATGTTCATCACTCAATATTAAATGCAACATTATCTCGGTGCCTCATGGAACAAAATGTTAATTGTAAGCAAGTTCAAAAATAGCGCAACAATTATACCCAAGCAAATCTCGACAGGAAAGTACAATTTTTGGTGAGAAATGTTTTTTTACCCAAAGAAACTAGGCTGAGTTGTGTTTATCGCATCTTACTCCATATAAATATAAATTTTATAAATGCTGGGGTATGCATTAATCCCAAGAAACTTTTAGAACATTAATCTTGTGGTCCCTTATAGAATACAAAATGACAAATTACTAAATAGTATAGCAATATATCAAAGCAAAATTGTGACAAGAAAAAATATACAAGCCATGATTTTGATGGGAGAAATAAATGTCTACTTTTGGCAAGACCTAAATGGTCTAAATTTTTGCAGTGGTTTTTATAGCCTAATTTTCACATGCATCTTTAAAGTTATACAAAATGGTCACACCAAAATTGACCCTGCACCCAACCAAATAAATCTTCCCTGCATCAATGATGCAGACAAGGTAAAAAAAAAGTGCTTATCCACATTCATTCAAGTATTCTTGATTTGAACTTTCAAACCAAGTTAATCTTATCAATGTCTAATTGCATTCAATTAGACCCGTCTTGGTTTCATGGTTCCACTCAGATATCTGTTACATTCAGTTACAACTCCTGTTCAATCAGATAAAGCACATAAATACACAAGCAAGGTAAACCAATCTTGAATTGCACTGAGATTATATACGAGTTGATAATATTTTAAAGTTTGACAATGATTAAATAAAATTCCTTGCTAAAACCTCACTGCTTCATTATGGGCAAGTAATCGACTTGAGAGATAAAAAAAAACTATCGTCTTCTGGTTCTTATGATCAGCAGTGTAAACTACTTCTTCACTTACTTTTATGTACAACAATGTTTTATTTTTAGCCAATTTTCCGAGCATATAGGCAGACGCACAAAAATGCACTTTGTTGTTGTTTTATAGTGATGAATAGATTTTACAAGCTTGAAAATCAAATAAAGCTTAGAAAGAACTCCCGTGTGCTGAGAGTATAGGAAAATTAAAATTGGTTCTTGACAGGTACTTATACTTTTCACACACTAATAGTCATGAATTCAAATAGTCACACCTCTATTTCTGTTCACTTTACTTCACAAGTGCAGAAGCAAATATTCTAATTTTTAATCATACAATAGCGACACCCAATGTATAATCCCATCTTGTCCAATAAAATACCATCATAAATATTGAGAGATGGTCGGCAACATTTTTGTCTGGCTTATTTTCTGGGTGCCGCCGTTATAAAAAAACAAGCAGCCTATCGGCTGAGATAGCTCCACTGTTAGCAATGCATATTTCAATTAAAGAA